TAATAATAGGCCAAGTAAGAGGAGAAAAATGGGAGACGGTGTTAAGGCTTTCAAGAAACTAAAGAGGGATTATTACAGGATGGGGACTTTTCATGGGAAGCCATCTGGATGCTTGTTGTTTGAGCTATCTCATCTGTTGAGGAAGAACACGAATGAGTTGCTGTGGCTGGCTTGTGTTTCCTTGACTGATCAGTTTGTTCACGAGAGGTTGACCGATGAGAGATACCAAGCTGCGGTAATGGAGCTTGAACAACACATCAATAGCTCAGGAAACATAGACAAGATCACTTCTGTTACTCTGAAAGACGGAACCAAGGTTCGAGCACCAGACTGCTCAAGAATCTCTTATGAAGAAGAGCCTAGGCTTATGCTACTCAGGGAGTGGACTTTGTTTGACTCCATGCTTTGTTCCTCCTACATTGCAACTAAACTCAAGACATGGAGTGATAATGGCATCAAGAAACTTAAGCTTCTTCTGGCTCGAATGGGATTTGCGCTTATTGAGTGCCAGCAAAAGTTTCCGTACATGAGCCACGAAGTGAAAAAGAAAATGAAGCAAGAGTTTGATCGGTTTTTGCCAGAATATGGGCTAAATGATTTCTACTACCGGAGTTTCTTACGGCTTCATGGATATAGCTCAAGGGTCTCTGCAGCAGATGTTGTGTATGGTATTACAGCACTTCTTGAATCATTTCTTGGGTCAGGTGGCTCCTCTGCTTCAAAACAGTTTGGCGAAGCTTATGATGCTCTGTCTTTGAACAATTTGGATAAACTTCGATCTGGGATGCAACAAGCAATCAAGGTTCAGCGAGCAATTCTAAGACAAGGAAGTAAAGCAATCACCAAAACTGGTTGCATCCGAAGTGGTAGGAAATTCAGATGGGTGAAGATTGAGGATTCCATGGATGCCAAGTATTTGGGATATCCTCAGGCCTTGACAAAATTCTGTTACTTTCTAATGGATGCTTTGAGAGAGAAAGGAGCTAGGATGAAACCGATGCTATGTGCCTGCGCATCTCAACAACCAGAGAAGATACTTGTGGTTGGAGTTTGTGGGAAGCCGAGGCTCGGGGCAGTCAGAGGGAATGCCTTTGGTAATGCTTTTAGAAAAGCAGCTCAGGAAAGTAGAGCTGATTACTTTCACGAGCTATTCGAGTCTTCATGGATCGTCTTGGATGCTTCTGCAGTAAACTCTTTCATGATTAGATTAACTGAAAAGCTCTGACAAAGGACTCTAGGACATCGTTTTGTTCTTTGACGCAGTGTGTTTCTTTTATTATAGTTTTAAGTTTTTATCTCTCATTGTTTCGCATTTTTACGAGCCTGTGTAATAGGCAGAATCTATTATCAATCATGCAACTTGTTTAATCAATGACCATAGAGTTTTATGTGAAGATGATTCGTTTATCGACTCACTTAGTAATTTAACTGCTCCAACAACTTTGAGCTATTTAGATCTCTGAAGTCAAAGAGACTCCATTTATATCTGATGAACAATCTTTCTGTCTCGAGTTTACGATAAGATACACGCAGTCACCAGTAGGACAAGACCCTAGGACGAAATTGGTTTGGCTCAAATCCCCAAAATTTGTACAAAAACATGATCAAACATAATTAAGTTCAACAGAGAAACTACTCCAATAAACCAGGTCCCTCTAGTCTTAACCCAAATTTATTATATTTAAAAAATGAGACACTCGTGAAGCAAAATCTTCATTGAGACAACAGAAACTCGACAACAAAATGTCTTAGGGATTTTGTCTGTTTCTTATCTGGATGGCTTCTTTTTCCACAGGGTTGTCCCGCGGTTGATCTCCTGACCATCTCCAGACAACCTCAGTAGATGTAAGAACTGGCTCTCGTTGTGGCCCTGTGTGCCTGACGTGGCAGAGCCATTGGTCCCACCAACTTCTGAGGTGGTAAGTGAATCCACTACGTCGTCTTGTTGACATTCTCTTCTGTAATCCAGAGTAATGACCTGAAGTTCATGCGTGTCTACAATTTCTTGAGGTATGCTCTGCCATTATCAAGAAACAAGGCCATATTATTACTGAAGTTCCCATTTAAAATACCGAGCTTTTCTGGTAAACCTGGTGACTCACCTCAAGAACCCATCCGATATAGGTGACATTATTGACATGCTGGTTCATGTCGAGATCAGCTCGTCTAGGCTGCAGAAACATGATCACAAAGTCTTAAGGAATGTTGAAGCCTAAAGATAAAGAAAGTCCTATAATTGTATCGTTTTTACCTTAAGACCAATCATTGAATACTGAGCTGGATCTTCGAGTTTCGGGATTTTCTTCAAACTTCTGTTATTCTCCTCTGGAAATGCTAATCTACAAGATAAATACATCAAACTAGTTGGTATTTATGCCGGTAACGATTTTAATTGACCAGCAAGCATATCCCTGGAAACAAAGGGTCATTTACCTGGGTTCTTGAGGACAGAAGACCAAGTACTCGTCCCGAACATCATCAGAAACTTTCTGAAGCCGTCTTGTGTCTTGGTTCATCATCACCCACTTGCTGAGACCATAACACATATTTCACACCACAAATCAAGAAAGCCGTAAATCCAAGTTACTGAAACCTCTTTCGTAACATGTACTCCAATATCCATGATACTAAAAGAGAACACAAAGTCCCGAACCAATGCAGAACACCACAATTTGCTATGTTTCTTTTCTACTAGGTTACTCTCTATGTATCTCTAGGGGCAGGAGAAAAAAAAGAGAAGTAAATGATGAAAGCAAAACCTTGTAGCACGGCCAGTGACTTGACCCGTAGCAATGTCTTTAAGAATCCAATCACGCCTTGTCCCGATCCTTCCTTCACTCTGGCACCATGTCTCTATCTCAACCACATCACCCCTGTAACCAAAGAATAAGCTGAGCAGATTCATTTGTTGTGAAAAAGACACATGTAGATAGGAAAGCAAAGCAATAATACCAAGCAGGGTATTTGTAGATCTCAATGTGCATTCTTGCAGTGACCCAAATGAGATGCAATTTCCTCATGGTAGGTGTTGTTGCAAATCCATCAGTCGAAAATCCAACGCTCTGAGCATGATTACATCCCACTTCCTATACAGTTTCATCAACCAACAACAACAACTTAAAATTGACCACTAAAGATTCATACATACATCAAATCTTAAGCTCCAGCATTTCAGGAATCTAAGATTCGATTCAAAGTTGATGACTTTAGAAAACGACATGTGCGTGACATTCGAGGAGACAAACCAATCATTGAATCAAAGGGAGATCAACGAATCACAACAGTAACACACACACACAAATCGTGGAATTAACTTGTTATTTTGGGTTTTAGAGCCGATT